AGAGAGAGAGAGAGAGAGAGAGAGAGAGAGAGAGAGAGAGTACTCGGGCTATCGACTTCAATGCTGTGCGCAGTTTTATAGGTCAACACTTATTGTAGTGTTCGCCGTCCAGTCGAGGCGACTAATTATTACGCTACGTGTCTCGACCGTTTGTGAGATGTTTGACGCTTCAACTGTAGGGCTATGTCTCGACGGCTATGTGTATCGACCATTTGAGATTTTTGACCCTGTAACTGTTTGACTACGTATCTCGACCGTTTGAGATGTTTGGCATTGTGTCCTACGAGTACGTGTCTTGACCGTTTGAGGTTTTTGACACTGTAACTGTTATACCTATGCACGTGTCTCGGCCGTTTGAACGTTCTTAATATTGTTACTAAATTTATTCTTGAAGTAATCAAGGTGGTGATTAAAATATGGGGGGAGAGGAGGATGGGGTGCATGTATGTGTGTGTGCTTACTTGCGTGCATGCGTGTATGTGTGCGTGCAAGCAGGTATGAGCACGAGCGTCTGTCTGTGTGTCTTGTGACAATGGGAAGTAGAGTATGTATTCCGAGCTGAGGAAAATCTATGAAAATGAAGTCTTAGTTTTAGTTTTAGTAGAGGTTTTACGGCACCCGCAACTGCGAAAGGTCATATGAGCGCCAGAAGGTTAGAGGAGTTACATGAGAGTAACAAACATGAGAAAAGAAAAATAGGAGAAAAGGACAATAGATGTTTCATAGGAAAGAAGAAGCGAACCACACCAGAGCACCCGCCAACCACTAACAAAATTAAGTCTGCACCACATATTGATTGCTTATATAAGCAGTTCTAGGTTCCAGCACTACTCATCATAGAATGGACCTAATATAACACTATACTCATGAATTGTATACTGCACGTATAATATACGTATGTATAATGCATTAGACATTGCATATTGTATAATATTGTGTTCCTTGTGCCCTGGGACATATTCAATATTGGAAGGGGTCATACTCCTTTTTCTTTCTCCCCTTTGTGTTTATGTGTATGCGTGTGTATGTGTGTGTGTGTGTGTGTGTG